AGGAATGCGTAATGTCCCCGCCCGGGGATGCTCGATCGATACTCCCAAAAGATTATAGTGCTGCACCCTGTTGGTAAACCTTATAACTTTTTAATGCTATTGCATGTCATAGAACCAACTTATTAGTTAAGTGCAGAGAGCACACTGTGCTCTCTGGTTAAGTGGCAAAGTAGCATAGTAGTAAGTGGCTCTCTTCAAGCCACTTACTACTGATCCAGGCAGTGCTGCTACCTTTGGGTGTTTCAGGGAACTACGTCCAATCTCGGGGTAACGTAGTACAATCACCGCTGCTCTTTTATTATTCATCAGATTGAAATATTTGAATGCCAATTGCGTTCGCTACGGTGCCGCACCGGCACACATTTCACCTGCATGTCCCTTAGTAGATTTATGCTTTTGATTCGGCTGTAGATAATTATTAAAAGAAATGATTAAGAGAACTGTCCCCGGTTGGGTATCGTAAATGCAAATGCAATTATCTGCTTGCAATATTGAGTGGGCAAGCATTTTAATCCATTCCAAAGTCAATGCTATGCTACATCTGTGCAGGATCATAAGTCAAGTGTTAAATGTAGGGGTCTGACTTACGGGAAGTATAAGTGAGGCAACGATGGCGTCATAGTTTAGTTCAAAATTCCTCCGTGAACAGTGTTGTAGTAGAGAACACAGCACGTAATTTTTACTTTACTATTAGTTAATTATAAAATTAAGAAAAATTATAAAATTAATCTTACAATTTTTTAATTATGAAATTAAACCGTCATAACTTAACCAAACCAACCAAACTTGCTGATATGAAAACTACTTTTGATAAAAAAGTTGGTGCTGCCAGCGGTATTCGAACCCGGTACCTGCAGATTTTACAGCCCGACATGCTATCCAATACACCACCGAGGCCGATGGATGGATTCCGTATCTTTCCGGTAATGGTGTTCCCATTACCGCGTATCCCGTATTAAAAATACTGGTGGACAGTACGAAAATGTACAATAGATTATGATTAATGACAATACTGTCGGTATGACACTTAAATGCTTACCTACAAGTCCACCCAACACTTCCAAGAGGGTCGTGGCATTACTACGTAAATAAAATCCATTTTCTTTGTTTGAAGTTCATTGTTGGTGATGGTGAGTTAATGTTGTTCAAAGGTTTATTGCGGACATTTTCCATCACGAATGTAAAAAACAATACACAACGTTTCGGGATCTGGAATCTGATCCCGTCTTCAGGTGAAAAAAAAACACATTACAACTAACAATACACAAACGCCCAACCTAAGTTGGAAACACTACAGAGGGTAGTAGTAAAAAAAAAAACAACTTAGTAACTGTTCTGTACAAAGAAATAATATCATGTGGATCACGTTCCCTTTTTATATATGGTGTATTACATGCACTTGTTGTCAGTTAGCGTCCATAATCGACGGCAGTACAAAGGGGTTTGAGAAGATATCAAACATATTCCCGTATTAAAATTACTGGCGGACAGAACGACAATGTACTATATATTATAATTAATTACTATACTGTTGCTATGACACTTAAATGGCCGGACAAGTCAACCCAACACTTCGACTTTCTAGATGGTGGCGTGTTGCCGGGGTAGCATCTTGACGTCAGCCCCTTACTATTAGAAGAGAGAGAGTGTCAAATTTTGTTCTATCTTCTCAGTTTTCTAATTATAATTCACTTTATTAATTTACTTTACGCGTTTACTTTAACATTCGAATTTTGTTATTGTCTGAGGACTTTTTTTTGTCCTAACAACTATTTATGTTTTACATATGTTAAGGGAGTTGAATTTTGATTGAATAGGCCTACCTACATGTTAAAATGTATTTAGATGTGTTTACTTCATTTTCTTGTAGCAGTAGCAATCGCTTTACTCATTGAAACTAGCATCCAATTAAGTTTCATTTGAGGATTCAAAGTAGCCTATAATGAATTAAACTTAATTAACTTAAATATTTATTTTGGCATTTGGTTAGGTATTATGCTATAGTGTCTCTCATTTGCTATCTTATGTTTCCAGTTATTACTTATTAGTCTTTAAAGGAATTAAACGTAGGCGACCAACCGAAATAAAAAGACTTATTCATCATCAATATTATTCATACTGTGTTGTATAATCTAATTCCTACGGGAATAAATGAAATGCTAAGTTCCTTCCTATAGGTAACGTAACTGTAAGTTTTCTTTTCAAGCAGGAGCATTAAACTATAATGTATTGTTATCTTAAAAAACAAACGAACGAGATCTAATAAATAGTAATCAATACCAACACTTGGATATAATTTTAGCAAGTTTCCCAAAAGAGAATAAGTTATTACCGTAGCATTCTAATAATAGGATATTGCTAATCTTAGGTAAGTTGGTGTTTTTGGATAGGCCACATTGATTTCAATTAAGAAGATGCTAAAAAAAATAATAGCAATGTTAACATCAGACGGAATGAGCTATACAACTGGCATAATTAAATTTAGATAATACTATATGGATAGGAAAACTAACAGTACCTAATTAAAATAAGGGGTATGTTTACGAAAAATCGACTTACTTGTTATTATTGTGTCTGAACATGTAAAATATCATTTATTTCCACATAGCTTTCTGCATTTAACTATAACGTTTTTTTTTCAAAATTACTGTAAAACTGTTGCCTAAATATAGGTAGATTGAAATTCACTATTTATTTTTCCAGAAAACACTAGGCCTACCAGGAGATTTTTTAAAAGGATAAATATATACTGAAGAAGATTAAAGGATTAGTTTGGCTTACATAGGATTCTTTAACTTTTAATAATTGGTCTGCAAATAGTTTATAATTAATTACATAACATCATTAAACGACTAATCTAGTTCTATCAGTGTTCAAAGGAGGCTCTGGATTGGAAGAAATCGCTCCGATGTTTCGTTCCGATTTCAATTCCGCTGTCCCGATTCCAGATTCTTTGCTCTGTGTTCCAGGCAGACGACACAAGGCGTTATATTCGGACCTCGGCTATATTCGTTATGGTTCGGAAGCGCTCGGGATGGCGTGGTGGTGCTGGGTTATTCCTCCAGAGAAGGTCTCGTCAATGACCGTGGCATTCTGACTCCGCCCACCACTGACACACCCCTCCTTCCCCTACAACGGGTCTCCGCCTTCGGTTCTTGCTCCTCCCTCAACCAATGTTGGAGCCCAGGCGTTACTCCGAAAGGCAGTGGTCAGAAAAGAATGCATTGCTAAGGCACTGGTTCGAAACAATCTGCACGCTCAGGCACTGCTCCGAAAGACAGTGGTCCGAGAGGCAGTGGTTCGAAAATAATACAAAGATGAGGCACTGGTCCGACAGATTTAGCATGGTCAGGCACTGCTCCGAAAGGCAGTACTCAGAAAGGCAGTAGTCCGAAAATGATTTTCGAACCAGTGCCTTTCGGAGCACTGCCTTTCGGACCACTGCATGGATCTCCCGGTGTCGGGCAAATGAGCCGGCTGGAGCAGTGAGTGTAGCGACCCAATGTGACTGTTCACATACAACCGGCACCTGTCGTCTGTCGTCTGCACCAGCACCACGTTTACTTTTTATTTCAGTTGTTTGTAGTTTTGTGTATTACTTTTAGTTATTTGTTTGCAAAAATTTGTTTATGTTGGAAAACCCACTTAAAGCCAACTAGGCCTACGCTACTGACAAGTATTTACTGAGTATGCCTAGTAGGTATTTAATGAGTTATTATTAGGTTATCCTATTTTTAATGTAGCCTTAACTTGATAATGCTAACTGTGTAGGTTTATGTTTATCTATAAACACTTGGTCAATTGAATATATTATTCTTATTCTTTAGGTTTGCTGCTACAAGGAAGGTAATTTTGTGTTTTCGTAAAATTTAAAAAAAAACTTAGTGTGAGATAAGTGAATTACCGAAATTTGATAAAATATATCCATAAAGAGGCAATAGTACAACTCAATTTACCTATTCTCCTAAGAACAAAATGGGAATTTGTAAAAGTTTTTTGGAAGTATACAACGACGCTTCAATTTACTTAATTCCAAGTTTTTAAGCTCTAATAAATAGTTTAGAAAGAAATTGCAACATTTTATGTTTTTATGATAAAATTGGTAACCCGTCATTACAAATCCTGTTCCCATCGGCCGATCATGCTGGTTCGCGAACTCGTTCGTGGGACTCCCTTTTTTGTTAGCATTTTTCAAGGATGGTTTGTGTGAAGTTTGGTGCAGATCCGTCAAAAGGGCTCCACCCCAGTGGATCTGGAGTTTCCCCTGTTAATCTAATGAGTAGGCCTACTCATATTTAAATGGAAATTAAAGAATCTTATCAGCTGTTTCAACTAAACAATTTGATTCTGTGAATAGCATTAAAAGGTTACAAAATGTGCCAGCACTAGCAGCACTATTAATTATGTTGCTAGCTTACCAGATCAAAAAGTCTTAAATTTCCTATAAAGGCCATAAAGGTTAAATTTTGTTTCTAAAAGGCGTATGTGTAACTATTTTATCAACAGATGTAAAGATCAAAATGTTTCTATTTCGTGTTATCTTCCCGTTGCAAAGCACGGGTACAACAGCTAGTCTAGATATAAACTTGGAACGAAGGTCTATCAACATGTATTCTACATGTATGTACAATTTGGTAACGGTTAAAAATATTTATCTATTTTATTAACAAAGAACGCCGTAAATAGCTAATTTCATTTTGTTGACCCGGGTCGATCGCAAAAAAAATTACTTAGAATTAAGTTATATAGGTCTACATGTAACTTGGAACGAAGGTTCATCAACATGTATTCTACTAAAATTTGATAACAATAAAAATATATTTACGTATTTTATCATCAAAAATCGCCGTAAATAGCCTAGCTTATTTTATCTTGTTGACTTGGCCCATTATATACTATAATGGGAGTATGGGGAAATTAATGATCTCGTGAGTACCAATACTGTACCAATAAATTACACTATGAAATTAATATAAAATAGTAAGAATAAGTATTTTTACCTATCGATGTTCCATGACAGATGATCGTACACAAACACCATACATAAATAATGCACCTCATCTTAGTCACACAGTCAATGTTTACTATGCTTTGTTTGCTAGGAAATGTTTATTGACTTTGAGAAGTCTTGTCTTACACTATAAGACAAGAAAGTGAGGGAGAACCAAACAATTAAATAAACGTAAATAAAAAAACATGAGATTGCACTGCACAGAACCATACAGAATTAAAAGTTTGAGGAGTCCGCGGGTAGTAATAGAGATCAATGGTCCGCGACCGCTTCAACCGTCTGTCAACCGAGATATACACACACTGACTGAAAGAGAAAGACTAGGGATGTTCGATATTTTGATATCGGTGACAGAGTCACCGATACCTGCTTGTCATTGAAATATCGGTGACAAGAGGCTCGAAAATACAGTGACTGGAATATCGGTGACAGCGGCAAGTCGCTCCTCGACGATGGCGCGGCGGCTTGGAGGGAGGGGCGAGTCAGCAGACTGTTCTCTCTGACGATATCAGAATCTGTTACAAAATCACCTGTGACGAGGTGCCCGCGTATTCACGTATCAACCAATCCCTGCATAACCAACCACCTCACATGAGTCACATCCGACACTAGACAATACACAATATTTTCGGACAACAACGCCAACCAACATTATTCAAACTCAACGTATTCTAAATGCTTTCATATGCCAATATTAACCTCAACTAGGCCTATTATGTCTATTAGTATCTATGGACCGCCTATATATATTTTTAATTTTAATTATTATCAAACCAAAGTTTATTAGATTTCAATACTACGATATATTTTATTTCACAAAGTGTAGGCAAACAAGTAGATGTTCCTTTAAACCCCCAAAGCAAAGGTACTGGTACCTAATTGACCAAAATATTTAAAATTCAGTGACAAACAGCTGATTCTAAATCGTCAAGGGACGTATCGCCACAACATCGATAGTAAATGCCCCAGTGACAAACCAGTGCGGTCTTAAAAGCTGTCACCGATATTTCAGTCACCGATATTTTCCCCCGATATTTCTTTGTCACTGGAACGAAGTCACCGATATTTTTAAATCACGGTATCTAACATCACTAAGAAAGACTGAAGACTGAATGGCAGAACAGAACACAGAACGAAACCTTTTCTGCTATGCTGCCGCTGGCTGCGGGGAGGGGAGACATACACGAGCCGAGACACTAACACTTCCCAGTTCCCTTCCCACCACCACACCACCACACCACCACAACCAAACCAACCACTCTCACTCACTCACTCTACTCAGAGACTCACGCCGTGTGTGTGCTGTGTGATTTGATTGTGATTGTGAAACACAATGGAGGGGGCAGCAGGTCTAACAACCAAACAGGCGCTCGCTTCCCTACTTTACTCCCTTTTCCCAATCTTGTTGTTATAAAACCAAAACCCACTCTTGATATCAGCTGTTTGTTGTAAGTACGGTACTTTCATAATATTATTATAGTTTAATAGGCTATAAACATTACGAATATACATGTCATACAATCTGGTTTATTTTTAACAGTTTTAACTTAGGTATCAACAGGACTCGATCTGTAATCATAAAATCACAACACCCAGCTGTCCTGCTTGATCATTTAAGTTGTTATTAAATGGTCCTGACGAATGAAACAGCTAGTCTTAAGGCCGGGACCACACTCATCTTATCTCGCTGATTTTTTTCCACGGGCGTTACCCGTGGGTTTGAGAGATACATTACGGTATATGGGGCAGGCCACATTGGTGGCGTCTCTGGTATCTATCTCATATGATGTAGACCATACGAGATAAAACCAAACAACACAAAACAGCGACAAAATGATGGTAACAACCATCCATCTGTCACAGAACATTCATCTGTTGTGTGATGAATGGTCTGTTGTTTTGTTTATGGTAACAGATGATAATGATGAACAGATCATTCTGAAGGCTGATGTTGAGCCTCTACTCCAGGACGGAACCTAACCAACCTAACCAAACTTGGCGATAATGAAAATCGAATGAGATGATAATTAATTAATCGTATTATTGATATTTTCAGTGAATAAATAAAAATAAAAAATAAAAAATAAAAAAATATAAAGTCAGTCACCCAGTTAGGGGTACCCAGTGAACCCAAAGTCATCCCGTCACTGTTGGATCACCCAATCAAAAGACTCTATTCGCCCTATGCGGAACTCCGATTGAAATAAAACTATGCTCGGCGCTAACCCCCCCCCCCCTCCCCACAACTCATGGTAATAGGTAAACCCGCAACACCCGACCCAACCAAAACCAAACCACCCTGCCCGAAAACCACAATCCAAGAACTATCTATTCTATATAATTCATTTTTTAAAATCTTTGTACAACTAAATCTAAGAGTTCTACTGGACCGACTTTATTAATTAATGGGTCGTTTGAAAGCTTAATTCGTGTAGATTTGCAAATAATTATGAAAGTTAGTTTTTGTTATGATTCATTGTGAAAATTAAAAAAAAGTGTTTTCCATAAGAAAAACATTAAAACCGGTGTTTTTCACACTTTTTATTTGGGTGAGACTTTTGGCTGTCTTTTTTAGTGTTTCCAAGAAGTGTATGGCATCAATTATAGTCGAAAATTTTATTCTCTTTCAGAATATCACCTTCCACTTAAGTCAATTTCCTCACCATTTAAAAGTTATTCGCAAAAAAGCTAAGCAACCTCCGAATTTATAGTAATGAGAAAATAATGAGTTAGGGATATTTTTGTTAAACTTTGTACAACTAAATCTAGACTTCTACTGGACCGATTTTGTTAATTAATGTGCCATTGGAAAGCCCAACTCATGTAGATTTGCAAATAATTATAAAAGAGTGATTTTATGAAATCTTTGTGGTAAAAAAGTTAAAATAACAAAAATACCTACATTAAAAACTGTTTTTTTTTTTCAAGTTTCTATTTGTAGCCAGCTTTTGGCTGCCTTTATTAAGCATTTTCAAGAAATACATAGGCCTAGTAGTTATTTGTAGTAAATTTGATTCTCTTTCAGAATATAACATCCACTTTGGTCAATTTTCCCTTCATTTAAAAGTTATTGGCAATAAGCTAAGTGAACTCCAAATTTATAGTGGTGAGAAAATACTGAATTATATATATTTTTGTTAAGCTTTGTACAACTAAATCTAGACTTCTACCGGACCGATTTTGTTACTTAATTGGTCGTTGGAAAGCCTAATTCGTGTGGATTTGCAAATAATTATGAAAGTTTGTTTTATTACATATTTGAGGTAAAAAATAAAAATAAACAATAATACATTAAAAACACCTTTTTTCAAGTTTATATTTCCAAGTTTATATTTGTAGCCAACTTTAGGCTGCCTTTATTGAGTATTTTCCAGAAATACATAATAGTAATTTGTAGGAAATTTTATTCTCTATCGGAATATCACCTTCCACTTTGGTCGATTTCCTCACCATTTCAAAGTTATTTGCAAAAACGTTAAAGCAACCTCCCAATTTATAGTGGTGAGAAAATACTGAATTAAATATGTTGATGTTAAACTTTGTACATTTAAATCTACAGTTCTACTGAACCAATTTAATTAACTAATAGGTCATTGGAAAGCCTAATTTGGGTTGTTCGTGATTTAGCAGTGTGCTTTAGGTACGTCCAATCTTAATAATCAATAACTCAAATTGAAGCTGGTATTTCACTGAAGGTTCTTAGGTCAAAACAAATAGAATAACGTAATAATTATAATTGAGTAAAGGTATATCTAAAACTAAATTCCATATCCAAGATATAATTAAATTTATGTTTTCTGATTGAGCGATACAGTATATCTTCAACTTAACTGATTCCCACACAACACAAGAATATCCTTGGAATGTCCTGGGGATATCCCAGTAAGATATGGGGGATATACTCTGTATATCCCGCAATGTCCTCAGGATATCCTGGGGAACTCCCTGGGATATCCCTATGTCCGCCCAAATCCTGATCCCTGGGATATCCCACCAGGATATTCCTGGGATATCAAACCAGGATATTCCTGGGATATCCCACCAGGATATTATACATAAAAACACAAAATAATAAATATTTAGTCTGAAAAGCACTTTTTCCTACTGTCACCCGACAATGGTGGCTTCCTTGTACTGTTAATTAAATAGCTCATAAAATCAAGTTTTGGGAAAAATAGAAACAAAAATATTTTTGCCCAGACAAGATTTGAACCGGGTACCTTTGACTTACGAAATTCTTACCTTACCTCCTGAGCTATTTGTGATTGTTGATGACTAGTTGTCAAGCGGTTAATGAGGAGCCGACAGCTGAAATGGTCGCAATACTTAAATATTTTTGATACTATGATTCTGTTTAGGCATCAAGTTGTTAAATTGTTTTTCTGGGAGTTGTAGAGGATACTGTAATAAGAATAAAGATTATAATTGTTATATGATTAATTAAATTCTTAAATTAAATTCTCCTTAAATTTTCTACCAATTAATTTTCTCAAATAAGTTAGAATTTAAATTAAAAAGAAAATATTTGCATTATTATTATTATTGTAAGTAGGTGTTATTATTATTATTATAAAATGGTACTAATTTAGAGTTTGGTAGTTATTATGCCCCACGGGGATATCCTACGGATCTCCAAAGGATGCCCTATGGATATGATCGGAAAACATGATTAATTTTTATAAATCATTCGTAAACGTTATTAGGTATTTTAATTCAAAATAGTATTGGATTCCTTTTTAATAAAGTTTCTCAAGCACTGTTTGTCACTTGAAAAAATACACCCATTACTATAAAATATGTTTTAATTGAGGTAGAATACCGAGAATATCCATAGGAAGTCCCCAGGATATCCTCAAAATGCATTCGTTTGTGTTGGATATGTGCAATATCTTAGAGAGATCCTAGGGACATTCTCAAATCCTGGGATCTATGTGGGATATGTGGGAACTGGTCATAATCCTGTGCTGTGTGGGAAAGCTGTATTCGGTAGCATATTTTGAGAAGTACTTGAGCTATTAGTGGATTTTACAAATAAATTAAGAAAAAAGGATATTGTGGATATTCTAGGGATATGCCAAAGATATTCCTGTCCCTCAATCAAAAACACCAAAAAAATTTATTTAATTATTGTAACGGGAATATGCCAGGAATGTCCCAGGGATATTCCTATATCCTATGGGATATTGGAATATCCCAGGAATGTCCCAGGTATATTCCTATATCTCATGGGATATTGGGACGTTTTGGGAACTCTGTGGGATATCCTGAGGATATTATGTGCTATTTGGGTTTAAACTATCAAAATCTCAAGTGAAAGCCTTTGAAGTATTTTAAGACCAAGACATATGAAATAACTTAAAATAAAATTTGAGTTACGTATCATTGATTGCAGATAAGTACTAAAACGATTATATTATTATTGTTGATTCGTGATTCGGCAGTGTGCTGTAGGTAGGATCATTAAGATCGGAATCTTAATACTGTAATCAATAGCTGAAATGAAAGCTGGTATTTCACTAAAGGTTTTTAGACCAAAACATATAGGGTAATGTAATTAGAACTGCTGGAATACAGGTTTAATTGAAGTAAAAATAAAAAAATAAAAAATTTATATTTTTTGTTGAGTAATACCATCAATAAATAATAAATTAATAATGATGCTTGATGACAAATATGTGCGTGCATAGCTTTATTTCACAAACATATTATTTTACTAGAGACCGTTGTATTTAACCACAACGGGCATTGTTGCTAGTCCTCAATAAAAACAAATACCACTCAACCCAACCAAAACCGGCAGTAGTGGCAGAATAGCGCTTCGTTATTACACACTCTCTAGTTATTTACACGTCTCTGCTACTGCTGCTATCCTTTCCTTGGCTGAAGAGAACTAAGTCCTAAAACACCCTCAGTCCAGTAGGGTTTCAGCTCTCTGGATTGGAACGTCACGGGGAAGAACGAAACGATCGCCGGTGGGTATATGCTGGTCTCTAGCAGTCACTGCTGCAAGCGAAGATAGCCGGGCTGCGGGCGGGAGCCAAACTACTCGCACAAACTATCACTGTCTGCCACGGCGATGAATTCTTACATGATTCATTATAAATAATTTATATTATGGTACAGTACCTATTTTTTCTTCATAACCATTATCATAGATAAAACATACTCCCTTATTATCATAGATAAAACATATTTCGGGGGGGAAAACAAAGAAGAAATAGAAATTCAAAATAGACTAAATCTGGCAAACAGATGTTACTACGCTTGCAACAGACTGATGTCCTCTAAGTTACTGTCAAAAAAACACCAAAGTTAGAATTTATAAGACAATAATAAGCCCAGTATTATTATACGGAGCTGAAACATGGAAACCAAATAAAAAAGAAGAAAAGAAGTTAATCACATTCGAAAATAAGATTTTAAGAAAAATCTATGGACCAATTTATGAAGGTGGTGAATGGAGGAAGAGACACAACAGAGAACTGAGAGAACTCTACAGAGATCCAGATGTGGTGTGTGAATTTAAGTGTAGAAGAGTTATATGGGCTGGACATGTTTTACGAAGAGAGGAGCAAAATAAGTTAAAATTAGTTTTACTAAGAAATCCCGAAGGAAGACGACCGAGAGGAAGGCCAAAACAAAAATGGTGGAGCCAAGTAAAGAAAGACATGGAGCAACTAGGAGCAACTGAGGAGGATGCAGAGGATAGAGCAACATGGAGAGGCTTTGTTGGTGCGGCCAAATATCTTCTTAGATATGCATGGCCCTGAGAGTAAGAGTAAGAGTAAGTAACCATTATTTCGGAGGGGGTCCAGGATGGGTTGGCCAGGAAATTGGCTATACTAAAACAGCAGTGTATGGATATTCAAGCTGTGTAATTTTACGAACAGTCTAAGGTTCACTGAGTAGTCTTTAATTCAAAACTAGGCCTACCATTATAATGGTAATTAATGGAAAACTAATATTGTTGTAAAAAGTTTAACTCGTTTGCTTAATAAATACAAATATTATCCAATGAAATTTATCTTTTTGTACTCACTTACATCACCCACTCTGATATTCAAGGTTCTAAAGATAAAAAATGTTAATTGTCATTTTCTGTAGATAAAGAAATAGATGTTTATTCAGCCAAAGATAATTTACAAATGCATTTTAAATTCACTTACACTAAAGACCTATTATAGACCCATCTGTGTCTGAGCATGAGACCTTGTTATTTGTGATGTTTTTATCAGGTACCGGTACTGGATAAAGAATATACAGTGTACACAAACTTAAGAGCTGATTTGTCAAAGAATCACATACAGTATTTAATATACAGGGTTAGTAAAAAGTGTGGAGACCCCCTGTTATTTTTTAACGGCCCATACTAGAAAAACTAAACTCGGCACACCTTTATGGCATGTTATGAAGTACTTTTTGGACATAACCGCTACTTGGTGTACATCCCCAAAATGGGGGAAACTAAAAAATCCTCCATTTTGGGGATGTACACCAAGTGGCGGTTATGCCTAAAAAGTACTTTATAACATGCCATAAAGGTGTGCCGAGTTTAGTTTTTCTATTATGGGCCGTTAAAAAAATAACAGGGGGTCTCCACACTTTTTACTAACCCTGTAGAATAGGAGGTATGGAATAGGTGTTGGAATCAGTGGTCCATTTTGCCTTTTGATATTTTTAAATTTGTTATTGTTCTGGATCAGTTGCTTTGCACATTGTGATAATTATGTAGATTCAGATTATTAAAAGAATTGCAGTATTGTATCAGTAAAATATTTATTTCTTGTAGTTTTTAGTAATAGTAGGGAAAACACAATTTTCATAACATCCAAGTTTATTTCCTACAATAGGCATAAAACTAAAACAATAATAAATGTAATATACTGTTATAATGTTTCTTAAAAATAATGAAAATTAAGTTCAGTACCGGTACCAAAATACTTGATATGGGTCTTGTATGTCAACAGTGCATCATGTCTCTTCACATGAAAATTGGGATGTATTAAATTATCTTATCAAAATTTCGAGTAGGTCTACAATGTAGCATCAACAGCTGATAAAAAACCAATGCTGGTAAGCAAACCATTGAGTTCATTAATATGCTTACGGACCATACCAAACATGAAAAAAAGTTAAGTTAAAATAATCAAAATTATAGAAGAAAGGAGTAGACAACTACTCTAATCCACCCATTTAATCTATGATAAAATTTAGACTTTGATTTTTCATAATAAAAAAGCCTGTCTTCTTATCGTGAATGTTGGTTTTGATTAGTTAGTAGTCCTGATACCAAGTGCCTCTAAACTGCCTTCATTTGAAAAATTAATTTGCAGATTCATTTAGCAGGTTCTTAAATACTACTGGAAAATGGAGAGAGACATTTTTCAAGAAATAAACAAAGACATATTTCAAGAGATTATAGTTTCTTTAGAGGAAGATGTACCAGTTACTCTCAGTGTAAGTTTTTTCTGGATATTCCATTCATTTTAGTATGTACCTCTCTATGAAATCTTTGATAATTTTCTATACCTTTGGTGTGCAGCTTGTATTTTTATTTTTTAAAATTTCAAATTATAATGGTGACTGTTTATTTCCTAAATCTTCCTTTTGTAGATGATAAATTTGCTAAAGGGTTTTATGGATGAAGACAGTACCAAGGAGACGGAGTTGAAGGTGTTTTGTCCTGGAGGTGACCAGAGCTGTGGTGTCTATGTTGTGATGCTCACTTACCTGAATAAGGTAAACATTTACATGCTACCAATGTTACTATTATATGAGCAATTTTTGCCTGTATGCATGTATGCTCGTTTGCTTGCTTGCACAAGAATCTCGAAAACGGCTAAGACGATTTCCTTAAAATGTTGTAAATAATTTATTTCTGGCCTAAAAACGTGATTGACGATAGCCAATACGTCAAGAAAATTCATATTTTGCTACACAACTCATTTGTAAAATTAAAAAAATTATTGGTCTTCTGGGTTGCCAAGTAACTATGTTGGTTGAACAAAATAACTAGGAAATGTAAGCACAAAGCGGCACACGGAAGATTTCTCAGGTGCCGTTTGACGTCACTATAACTGCTGATGTCACTTTGAGGGAACACCAATACCGCAACGATACGGATTGAGCCATCGGCCTCGGTGGTGTAGTGGATAGCGTGACGGGCTGATAATCCGAATGTTCCGGGTTCGAATCCCGCTGGTAGCATTAACTTTTTGTCATCAATTTTTTACATATCAGCAAGTTTGGTGGTTTGGTTAGGTTATGACAGTTTAATTTTATAATTAAAAAATTATAAAATTGAATTTGAGGCATTTATAATTTTATTTTATGAACAAAACTATTTTTCAGATTAGTAAATCTTCTTTTGATTTTTCCATTATCAGCACGTTTGGTTAGTTTGGTTAGGTTATGACGGTTTAATTTAATAATAGAAAAATAATAAAATTGTCTGTTTCTTCAGACGCAGCAGTTAGTGACGTCAGCAGTTAGTGATGTCAAACGGCACCTGATAAATCTTCCGTGTGCCCCACCGATGTAAGCAAACGACTTGTAACAAGTGTTTTTTAACAAGCCATCTACAGTATACTAGCAAATTACAATATAAAGCACAAAGAGAAAAAAATCAGTTGTTACTATTGAGTAAAGATTACCCTTAAGATTACTCAATCTAGGGGAAATAGTTTTGATCAAATACTGATTATTACTTGGCTCTCTCCAACCAAAACTTAATCCCCGAAGTACAGAGGCAATTGTTAGTAAACTTTGGTTTAACAGTAAAATAAATACTTAATAATATGCTTATTTTATGTAAATTAGAATTTAAACATAAATTTTCTCTCTGCTGTTTTAATTTAAACAAACTGTCAAAACAATGTTTAAGCAATTAGTCCAGGCGCACACAGGCGATTTTGAGTCGCGCAACAGTTGCCCGACTAAAATGTTCAACATGGTTTTAAATTGGAGTGCGCACACCATGGAAACAGTCTAGGGACAGTCGCACAACTGTTGCAACCGATGTTCCCGGACCCAATTTGCCAGCGACTGCTCTGCGACTGAATTGTTGCGGGACTGTCGCTCCAGGTTTGGTATCCATTGAAACAAGTGTAGATGCGCACACGTGCAACTAAATTGTCGCTGTGTTACTCAGTCACACCCCAGGAGTTCAACTAAGTATCTTCTCCTTCTGTTACTTCTGAAGAAAAGGAGGCAAAGGAAGAGAAAAATATACGTTCATCCAATGCTTAGTGCAAGAGAATCGAAAGGGTTATATTACACCCTTTTTGATGAGCTCTGTGCGGACAATACAACCGCACCAAACACGGTTTTGATATGGATTGGTTTAAAAATAATTGAATATTTTTCAATTATTTTCGTTTGTCACAATCCAGTTTCTTCGAGTAGTTAGGTCTCATAAAGGATTATATAACTGGAACTGATACTGCAATGAGGAGATGTATTACACCCGAGGAGATGTACTACACCCGAAGATGTATTACACCTCAATTTCACATGTTTGTTGCTATACATATGTTGCTACAGCACAGTTCCAAATACAAGGGTGTTTTTCGATTTCACTAATAAAGTCTTCAGTGTTCAACTTTGTGTCGGCCAACTTCTGACACTTTTTCATGAACTCTTCTTGCTTTTTATTTGCTTCTTTCTTTTGTTCGCCTTTTGGAGGTTCTTCGTTTTTCTTCATATCTTCGCGTATCCCTTCGACTGAATCAGATATAGACATTTTATCAACTGAAGTGAACAATAACAACACAACAGAACGCAACACAACAGTGTGCAAGTACCCCCGTGATATGAACTGACCGAGTGGCGACGTGATACTGGCGACCTAGTGTAATAAGCTCCATATGCTACAACGCAGCGTCGCCAATATGGGTAGCCAGTGGCTACCGCAGTGGCGACAGGGCTCGGTAGCCAGTCGGTCGCCAAAGCGTGGCTGCGTCGCTGGCTACCCTCGTGTAATAACATCCATAAGAATCAATGACCCTTGACAAGCTGAGTAGCCAGTTTGGTCGCTGGCGACGTCGCCAGGCTACCTCGTCTAATAGGGGCCTAAGAGGTAACCAGTTCGAATCCCACTGGTGACACTAACTTTCTGTCAAAGATTTTGCTTAGAATGCGCTTACTTCTTAACTGTACACATCTTTTGTTAGAATTTGAGGCATTTAAAGTTTTATTTTGAATTAGTTTTCGACTTACAAACCTTCATGAAATTTAATTTTTTGCCACACGAATGACAGGTATGATTTTCAGCAGAACCTTCACTTCTAGTACCTATGTATTTACTGGAACCACAGAAATAACATTTCCAAGAAGTGGCTGATAACAAGTTTCCTCTGTATTATTTAACGAGTGGTTACTTTTGACAGATTCTGGTTCTCAAGTTGTAGAATGTTGTATGCAATTTAATTGAGAATGTTGCTTGGTATAAGAATCTGATTGATACTGACCCAATTCCAAAACTCAAGCTTTCTCAAAAGCCTCATTCAAAGTTAATGTTTTATTTTCTTAAAGTCTTTGTCGGATAACAGGGGAAATCAAACCTCCGATAAATGCATCACAAATATATAGTTATTTTTATTATGTTCAGCAGAAACTTTTGTGAAAAATTACAAGGTTAACTTAAATCTTTTAAAGCTTGGAAATATTGGTCAACAGATTTCCCCCTGACTTCTTTAAATGAGTTGCTAGAAGATGTCTGGAATAAATCTCATTTTTAGGACGGATATAGAGTTCTTTTAAAATAGCTATAGAGCTTCATCAAATGTTGTAGCTCAAGAGATGTGTTTGTAGATAGATGGACTAACAAGTAAACGTAGTTTTAATTTTTCATTTGTTGCATGAGAATCACATTCCTCTAGGAAGTTGGTAAAAGTGTGGTACCATTGCAGCCATTGTTCTTCTGCACGATCATTTTCTGGCTCTACATCAAATCTGTCAGGCTTGAGGAGATTGTCCATGACTTGTAAAAAGAGTTTATTAAATTGAAGTGCAAATAAAACTCATTATAAGGCCGGCCACACACAGAACCGACCGGGGTGGAGCACGACAGGGCATTTTGCCCCAGGGCGTCTTGTGCGACGGGAATTGCACGGACGCTTACGGGGTGCCACACACTGAACCGGGCGGGGCTGGGCATTTTGCCCCAGGGCGTCTTGTGCGACGGGAACTGCACGGGCGCTTATAGGGCGCCACACACAGGACCGGGCGAGGCAGGACACGTCGAAAAGACGACCCGAGCGCCCGCAGAGCAAAATGCGAAGCTCTCCAAAATTATGCCCAGAGGCAAGTCGATGCCGTGCAGAACTTTCTGCGCATGCGCGGTAACGTAATCTAATTCCCTCACTGGCTGATTTTGATATGGATTGGTTTAAAACTGATACAATTTACATAAATGACTGTAACATTTTATACGACTATACAGTGCTATTACTACAGTGTTCTTTTTCTTGGTATTGATACTGAGGAAAGAGAGGACCAACCAATATTACCCTCTATATCCTCTAAATCCTTATACCTTATGGGTGTCAGAAACCGCTCCTCTGGAGATATGACTGTTTGAATTTTTTGTTTCTGCTCCCAAGTATAAGATTGAATTTAAAAATTGGCTAAATCGTCTTGAGGCTCAGGAATACAAATTCCTATAGGCTACTTTTCAGGTTTATGGGGGATACATTTTTTACTTGGTGTGCCCTGCCTCGTTCTGTGTGTGACAGCAGCACGACAGGGCAAGTCAGGCGTCTCGTCGTGCCCCGCCCCGCCCAGTTCTGTGTGTGACCGGCCTTAGAAATACAAAATGTAAATAATAAACAAAGAACAACTAATAGACAACAAAGAAATTCATAATTTAAATAAGGTGTAGTGACAGTTCATATGTTGTAAAATATTACCACCCTGTTTATTTTATTATACTATACTATTACTCCAGAAAAAAGGTTTATACAAACCCTAGTTGAAGAACAATAAAAAAATTATGTTAAAGTGACAAAAGAAAATGAGTTTCTATTTATTAATGTGTTTTTTCAGTGCAAATACAAGATGATAAAGATGTACAGCAGGGAAGACACAATGTCGATATTGGAAGAATCACTGATCACAACAAGAAGATTGGACTGGTCTAATGCTGACATATTTATAGAAGGACTTTATTATAAAATGTTACCTGTTCTGGAGACAGTGTTCCTAGCCAAAAATGTTTCCTCAATAAACAAACAGAAGTATATATTCATGTCCTTGCCTTCTGAAGCACATGATATGGTCCGTAAAGAGTAAGTATCCAAGATGACACCTTCTTTTGTTGACATTTTTGTGGCACTAACAGCAGTGCAAGTGATATTTGAAACAAAAATTATTATGAAACTCCAGCTGTTGTCAGAAATTAAAAGTGAGAAGAAGAACATGTTAATTGTAAACAGTCAATAATTTTGCTAATTTAACAGTTTGCTTCAAACATTTACTGACTTGGTTGAAATGAAATATTTACTATTTGAATTTGGGTTGGCGAAAATATTACAATGGAAAAAAACGAGAGAGCCTGGATTAATTGATATTCTAAAAAGAAAACTGAATTAACACTGTGCTGCATTTCTTAGTAATCATTGAAAGAGCAGATTTGCAAACTATGGAACATAGGAAAGTCATAGAACACCACCAAGGAGAAGAAATAGAAATAATGTTTATTTTTTATTTTTTGAATTTATAATCGTTATTATGGACAGCCTAATGCGGGTATGAGTAAGGCTATTTGTAGACAACACTAAAAAAGATCAGCTTTTGAAAAATGATAAGATACCGGTATTTACAAGAAATGTTGATTATATCGATCTGTTATATACATTTTGAGTATTTCCATAATCTTTGAGTCAAATCTTTTAAAGTCATAAGAAATCATTGATGTTATTCGTTTTATAATAAAGCCTGTAATACTTAGCAATTGCTCGAATTCGAGCAACAGGGACACTAGTATAAGATTAATGAATAGAAAATAAAAAAGAGAATAGTAGGGCAGGTACCTTTCATTATTGATAACTATCTGGAAGTTATTTTTCCTACACCCGGTATACTAAACACTTTTAAACCTAAGCCCGAGTATAGCTCAGGGCGTTAGTTCATTGAATCTCACCTGCGAAAGTTAGTGTGCTTATAGAGGCACTTGTCGCATTGCTCGACGGCATAGACAAAAAGAATTAAATATAGGCCGTCAGCTATGACGGTGTAAAAAATGCAAAAAACCTATTTTTACCCCATAAAACCCCCGTCGTGAACTCGTTCCAATAAATGTAGGTTTACACGTTTATACCAAATTTCATCAAAATCGGATCATTTTTGCTCGAGTTATAGTGCTAAACGGACACATATATCTCTATATATATATATATATATATATACACGGCCGCGCCCGGGAAGCCAGTCACATAAAATATACACTGGAAGTCAGTCAGTTGCACCCCCCAATATATTTTAAGACTATGATATATATATAATATATGTTGGTAAATATCTTAAGCCTAGACATATCTGAACGTATATATCTCTTTTTTTCTTAAAAATACTAAAATATAATTACGTAAAAAATGCTATGCTAATGCAGTCACCACCGCATTTGCATGGGAAAGCCAGTCACGTAAAATTTGTGCTGCTAAGCCAGTCACTATATATTTTACCGCATACCACTGGAATCCAGTCACTGAAAATCCACCCGGGTATCCCGTCACTTCAGTCACTTTCACCCCTGCGCTTCTACTTTGTGATATTTATTTGTTTTACAAGCTTGAAAATCCGCACCTCAAACAAATGGATTATGCTTCAGGCATTGAGCACTCTCATAACCCATCTTTCGCACTTCATTTTAATTAGTTGTCTTCCAGATTACTTAACAATTACTATTCTACAGATTAAATACCTAAATGTCAATGTAATCTTTGGTCGTCTTAATAGTCGTCCTGGCAACTGTGGATACAAATATGTACCGTACTAATTCGCAAGCGTAAGGTGGGAAGTTATTGCTTTATAGTCGCACAATTAGGCCTATTGTTGAGTCCTTGGAGGCAAGCGGCCATCTTGGATGATTTAAAAAAGCTGCAAAATTTATCGTCCAAAAATATTTTTCAAACACCAAAGTGTTTATAATTTAAATAGCTAGTATACTGTGGGATTAGAAATGTTCTTTGTAGTTTTGAATTATTCTCCAAGGGAGTCCATAAAATAAGTTAACGGTCACGGTCATCTTGGAAAAAGGCCAACTAATACGAAAACAATATCCTGTGTTGCGCGGGCCGTAGCACACAAATAGTTTTCCCGCCTCAAACAATCAAAGGCGTGTGGAACAAGGCAAAATTCTTGTCTCTTTTGTGGCGAGAGGTAGGGGCGAGCCTAACGGGTTCCATTGATGGGCTACCCGGCTACCGACCGACCTGGGGTAGCGACTAGCGAGCCAGTGGATGGTTAAAAGTTCTGCCGGTTATTTCCATCTTATTGCTGGTTCTCGAGCTTTTTGAGCTCGTTGTACAGTGAAATATTACTTCCCTATTTTATATAGCCACAATCAAAGCGATTTTTACAAGAAAGAATGAAGATATAGACTCAGTGATGTGTGGTTACTTAATTAAATCATGTTCCTTGATTGTTTACCCTTTTGTAAGAGCCAATAATCAATCAACTTATATTTCTTTATTTTTCGATTTATTATCTATATCAGTTCAAGAGGTAGCCCTGTACCTGGTTAACAAATATACCGATTACATTTAACGTGTTTTCTTTGAGTTACGCCCCATGGGATTCCAAAGTTTCACAATGTTTACATTTTTGAAGAATGTAGATAACAGAATGTTTAACGAAGTCAGCTTTAAATGCTGTCAATAAAGTTCTTTGATTTTGCGGTCCAAAAGGTAGAAACGATTCGATTTGTGAAACTTTTAACTTTTGCTACGGGCCTGTTAATTGGAGATTGTGACATTCTTAATTTAAGGAAGTAAACGTATTAACATGGCGTGTTTGGAGTGGGATTTGAAATATGTGACGTGTATCAAACTTTTTCTCTTCAAAATCCTCTCCGATGTAAAACACAGGTACGGCAGCTAGGTTTATTAGAATTCAAAAGTTTTTTAATTGTCCTCCAATGTTTAGAAATTATTTTTCGATCAAGTTGTTTAATGAATAAATAATTGTTTTGCCAAATTATGTGTCGAAAACAGGAACTAAAAATAGATCAGGAAATAGATATTTTAGTTCAGAAAACAAAGCCAATCAAATAGGCCTACGTACTTTTTAAATAAAAACACTGGTCAGATGGTTTTTAACTTTGCTGTTTATTTACTTCAATAAATTTCTAATAAAAATCACCACAGGTACTAATCTATATAAATAAAATTAGAGTTTTGTCTGTACATTGCTCAGAATCATCAACTTTTAGATTATTTTTACGTTTTAAACATTCAAGAATCCGAAAAAAGTTTCATCTCAATTCCGTTATTATCTGAATCATCAATTATTATCTCAATTCCGTTGTTGTCTATCTTCCGTCTGTCACGGTCCAAAGGCCATTTTACGCGGCCTTCTCCTGAAAACGAGAGTACCTATCAAGATCCTCGAATCATTTTAATGTATTCACTGGATTGGCGAAAGTGTCTTTAGCTATTAAAATATGGCCTCGCTACTTTGTAAAAAAAACTTACGGACGTTTAAAACCCAATTTTGTGCGATTTTTGTCAAGTTTTCTCACAATGTTTAACACATAATCATCATATGAAATAGCGAACAGCTGTTCGGATCAAGATTATTTTTCTCTAGCTGTCACTGATATGTTTAAATTGAATATTGTTTACAAATACCGCAATCATTTCAGATCAAGTTTCAAAAGCAAATCCAAACCAAGTTGGATTAAAACCGTTTTTCCTTACATAACGGATTTAATTAATCGCAAGTGCAATAATGTGTAGGGTAACCGTAAATGAAAATAGAGCTTCTTTGTGTATAGAATTTCTATCGAGTTTTGGGTTTATAACCGGGGAAAAGACTTTGACTCAGTGTTCTATATGCCTGGGAAACTTACATTTTTTACATAAGCGTTACCAATAGCTTACATATAAGGTTTCAACTCGTTGACGGCACTTCAATGGTGGTTGTGTAAAGTGTTTAGAGACAACTGCAGTGGGTGATTGTAACAGAGGTTTACGGATTATGCTCAAATCGTATTTCTAATGTGTCTTCTCAACGCTATGTGCTGCTCGCTGGACCATACGTCCAACAGACCAATTATCCATCTCTTGGGTTCGTAGGCTTAAACAATTATTCATAAGTTGGTAGCGCATATAACTCAGTGTTCCGTACGGACAGGCCAAGAGCACCTTTGATAGTGAAATTTCCAACCTGAATGTTTAATGGCGAGGTTGAGGTATAGTATTTTAACTATATATCGTTTGGTTAGTTAGGTAAGGTTAACCTAACCTAACTAACCAAACGATATATGGAATTAAACAATCGAATAATCAATATTACTAATTTAGTTGTTTGTGCCAACAGATATGGAAGTGTACCCCTCATAGATCTATTACGCATTTTTTTTTTACTTGAAACTGTCAGATACTGTATTTGTTTGTATATAATAGTTTGGCTAGCATATCTGAAAATATGCAAACCAATAGTTTTTCTTTATTTAGGAAGGTTTCAACTGACCACTAGAGGATCCCCGTGCGTAGAACGGGCACACAGCTAGTAATTAATATTTAATTAATACATCTTATCTTACTAATATTATAAATGTGAAAGTTTGTGTGTTTGTTTGTTTGTTTGAAGTTCAATCACGCATTAACTACTGGCACAGAAGATATACTGTTTTTAATTTATAAATAATTTGTCATATTGTGCGAATCTTGGTGATTTGCTTTTTTCTGCTGTTTAGGTGCAGTGGTAGAACATTGTTATGGATATGGTAGATGTTTTATACTATATTATACCGTAAATTAAAGAAACGACATGACGAGTGTCGTTGTCAATAATGTCGTCTGATTCTGACTGATGTCAGATGTTACACTGAATCGGTCACAGGGATAATAATTAGTTGTAACCTACCACTAGCTTACCTAACTAAGTTTGAGTGTTGCTATTTGCAGTGTGGGATGATTGCACTGGACAGTTTAGCTATCTATTTCAGAAAAATAAAGTTTAAAATAAATCAAATTCTAGGATCTGTTCTTAAGTTGTGGCCGTTTTGAGATGGATGCTTTCATAGTTCAGTTTAGCCTAGCCTGAACAACTGGATTAGTAGCTT